GACATTCGCTCACTCATTCATTCATCATCTGTTTGAAAAAAGTCCCTGGGCCTGCTCCAGGCTGAGCACAGGACGAGGTGTCAGGACTCAGCAGCCAAGAGCACAGGCATGCACCTCCTAGGGAGGCAGGGTGAATGGGGACAAGGTGTGGCCTGGGAGGCTGTCCCCTTGGGGTGTGAGGGGTATGAGAGGGCTGGGGCAAGGGCAGTAGCTCTGGTGCAAAGCCTTGGAGGCTGGGATGGACTTGCATTTTAGTCCAAGTGCAACAGAAGAGGTGGAGCCGGCTTTGATGGACTTTTGGAAACATCCTCTCTGACTGCAGAGGGTGGGCAGGCAGGTGGGAGGGCCGGTGGGAAGTGGTTCCCTGGCAGGGGTGGTGGCTGAAGGAGGGAGCAGAGCACCACAGCAGCCTGCCAAGCGTCTGGGGGTTTGGGTGCATCCCCGCCCATGGGGAGCAAGTGCAGGGGCACTGAGGAATGAGGAAGTGCCCAAGGGCTGCTGATAGGCCAGGTACTCATGAATCATATCTCTGAATTGGGAGATTATAGGGACCAGTGAGGTAGGGGGGCACAAAGAGCACTGGGCAGGGCCCAGCCTCTCAGCCTGTTCAGCACTGCAGACAGGTCACCTGCCTCCCTGTGCCTGGGCTGCCCTTTCTGGTGTCTAGAGGACGAGTTGAAGTGTCAGTCAAGAGCAGGCCAAGTTCAAGTCCAGGTGTGTTACCATGGAAAGGGCTCAAGCTCTGAGTGTGACAGGCTGGGCTGAAATCTGAGCTCTGCCACATCTGAGACTGTGGGACACCAGCCACTTTGTGTCTGGGAGACCACGCTGTCCAACATGGAGAGACCTGTTCCCTAGGACAGGAGGGCTGCCTTGCTCACTGCGTCCTGAGCAGTGCTGCAGCCTGCAGGCCTTGGTAAATGCCCTGGCTGAAGGAGTGCAGGGCACTTTGCTTTGGCTGGGGAGGGTGGGAGAGGGACCCGGCCTGGGGATGCTGTCAGGAAATGGAGCAGGAAGGTAAGGTGCTCAGGGACCCAGGCATCAAGAGCCTCTGGTGCTGGGGCTCATGGCAGGCTGAGGAACGGGCGMAGGTAGGCCTATGTCCCAATTGCCAGAGAATGTTACCTTATGTGGTATCAGGGCCTCTGCAGATTGATGGATTTAGGAATTCAAGATAGGCCTCCATCCTGGACTGCTCAGGTGTCCATGGGTCCTTCTAAGAGGTCGGTTTGCAGAAGAGGGGAGGGAGGGTGGGAATGAGAGGTGGAGTAGGGGTAGTGGGTAGGCATGAGCCCTGGGGCACAGGTGGCGTCCAGTGGTGGGGATAGCAGGGGATGCTGCCTGGGATTCTCCAGAAAAGACTGCCCTGCCCACACCTTGACTGCAGAGTTCTGAATGTGTGTTGTTTTTCAGTTTTTTTTTTTAAATGGTAGTTATTTTTAACATCAGCCACAAGAAGAAAACCAGAGATGTGCTGTACACAGCAGGAGACAGGTTCAGTGGGAACCTGGGGACAACAGGGGATCCGTGCTCTGGGAAGCTCACCAGGAGTGGCCGAGCAGGCCATGTGGGGGATCTGTATGCCGGAAAGCTCACTAGGAGAGACAGAGCAGAGAGACCCTAGGAGGCGAGGAGGTGTCCGGGGGAGTGGGGGTGAGGAAGGGGCAGACAGAGGTCCATGTTGGGGCATGGGCTGCTGGTTGGCTACAGGGAAGGAGCAGCAGCATGTTTGGCCCCCTGTCTCTGGATACCCCCTGGGCTGACCATGCCCCTACTCTGCCCAGGCAGGCTGAATCGGTCCCCTTTAGCACCCTTGGCTCAGGCAGACAGCCCAGCCCTGGCATTGATAAGGGCCGCGGGTTGGCGCTGGCTCTTGACCCCAGTAGAGAGCAGGAAGGACCTGCTATCAGTCAGCAGGGAGCCCGGAGCCAGCCTCAGGGAGCCCCATGGCCCTGGCAGCCTCAGTGTGAAGATCGACCTCTAGCTGCTCTTGGCCTCCTGCAATTTCCATGCCTTTGACCTTGGTGTGAGGTCCTCTGACTGCCCCCACCCTCCCTTGTCTGCCCAGCCCCTCTGCCCCCTGCCCCAGGGACTGTGGCCTCCAGGAGACCCTACTCTGTCCCCTGCTCTGCACTGCTGTGTCAGCCAGGTGGGCAGTGATTCTTAGCTAGCCTTGGCTCTTCACCAAGGGTGGGCGTGAAGATGAGAGAGGCAGATGGGCAAACCCGTGGGGTGCCTGGAGCAGAGGGCACCGGGAGCTGGTGCTGCTGTCTGCGGTTGCTCAGACCTCAGCTTGGGAGCTTCTTCCCAGTTGTGCCACTTGGAGCGACTTACTGGAACTCCCCAGCCCTGGTTTCCTAACTGTAAAGTAGAGTGGATACAGACCCTCCTTCCCAGAGAACAGAATGAGGTCCAGCCCCTCCTGGGTGAGAAGGGCTTTCTGTTTGCATTTAAAGGCTCAACTCAGAAGGCAGTTCTCTGGGACAAGCTCCCAGGGACATGCACTGTCCCTCATTGCTGGGGACACTGAGTCTCAAACTTTGGCACCTGCTGCTGTGAGCAATTGCCCATCTATTCCATAATTGGACGATTAGTGATTCCAGGGGGTCAGAGCAGCAGTGTGGGCAGGGCTCACTCTGGCTCCCTGTGCACCTTGGCCTCTGGGATGGGGTGGGAACGGGACAATGCAAAGGCAGCTTATGAGCCTGGGAGTGGAACAGGGCTGAGTGACACAAAGCAACACATAAAAAGTGCCACCTGCCTGCTCTCTGGCCCTCTGCCCTGGTGTGTGCTTGTCTGTTTTATTTCTTTTTTGCACTGTGAGCTAAAACAGCTTTGCCTTTGAGGCTGCCTTCTGGATGAGGGATTGGAAGGGACATGGAAGAATGGGATCAGAAGGGCATTAGGTCCACCATGACGGGGCAGTGATATACCCTGGTGGAGGGTGGGTGTTGGAGGATGGACTTGAGAGGGACAGTCTAGAGGCCAACAGGCCAGAGGGGAGGCTGCAAAATAGCTCAGAGGCAGAAGCAATAGCACAGGAGTGGGGAGGGCCCAGGTCCCAAGTCGGTGGGGACATTCCATGCCTACAGGGGTGTAGCAGCTGCAAGGGGACCTGGGGCCCAGCGAGGCAGGTTTGCCCACAGCTGTCCATCAGAAGGAGAGCCCTGGTGTGGATCTGCAGTATCTGTCCACATTCTCATAGAGTGTGCAATGCTCAGAGCCCAACAGCAGACTCCAGTTCTGCTGGGTCCACATCCCCTAGCTCAGGGAGACTTTAGGCAACTCCAGGAAACAGCTAGAAGGCCCCATGGGAGGAAATTGAGACCCAAGAGCACAATGACTTGCTCGAGCCACAGGGTGAGTGAGGCAGAGATCAGAGCAGAGCTTGCAGCTCACCTTCCACAACTCTCATCAGTGTCAACATACAGAATGTCATTTCCACATCCGTGGCCCTCAGCATAGGCCCTGGCATGTGATGGAAATCTGAAAAGTGTTTGCAAATAAATGAATGAGCAATGAATGGATGGATGGTTGGAGGGGTGGATGGATGGATGGGTAAGTGAAGAGATGAATGGGTAGATGAATAGGAGAATGAATAGATGGGTGGGTGAGTGGATGGATGGGTGGATGGATGAATGGAGGGATGGATGAATGAATGGATGGTTGAGTAGATTGATGGATGGGCAGATAGATGGGTAGATGGATGGAAGGGTAGATGGATAGGTGGATGAAGGGATAGAGAAGGGATGGGCGGGTGGGTGGATGGATGGAAGGAGGGATGGATAGATAGGTGGATAGATGGATTGGTGAATGGCTGGAGGGATGGAGGGAGGGATGGGTAGATGGGTGGGTAGATGGATGAATGGAGGAAGGGAGGGATGGATGGGTGGATGAAGGGATGGTTGAGTGGATGCATGGACAGGTGGATGGATGGATGGGTAGATGGATGAGTGGATAAAGAGATAATTGAGTAGATGGATGGATGGATTCCACAGTCTACAGGAAGAGAAAGAAAATGACATTTACTGAGCAACTTGTACGTGCTAGGTGTTCTACCGACACTCTTTCCTGCACTGCTATCAACAGATGACATGGGACCAGGAGCTGTCATTCACACAATGAGCTTCCTCAGTGTCACTCAGCTCATGGGTGCAGTGTCCCCTAATGCCCTACCTGGCTTGTCCCAGTGACTTTATCTAAATCTCACTCTGTCTCTTTACCTTTTGTGCAAGTGTCTTTTTTCTTTTAATAGCCCAGCAATTTGGCTTTCTTCTCTTTCCCCTCCTGGACCATTGCCCAGCCTCCTCCCTGAGCCTCTGTGGTTTCACCCAATTCATTCACATCAAAAGAGTCCTCTTCCCAAAGCAAAGTTCTGTTTAGGTTACCCCAGGCCTTTCGTCTAACCCTTGCATCTTCCCCAAACAGCTACACTCTTGGTCTGGCCTTCGAGGACCCACTCCTGACTCTGCTGTCCTCTCTTCCCACTGACTTGAGCAACCCTATGGTAAGAGCTGGTGCACAGTAGGAGCTCAATCAATGCTGAATACAATGGGTTTCTCCCTTAGCCCAGCAGTCCCATCAGGTGATAGATCAGCACCTGACTATCTGAGTGCTACACTGCAGGGGTAAGTTATGGGGCTGGGCCTAAATTGGAGGCCCATCTCCACCACGACGCCTAAGTGGCAGAGCTGAGCCTCCAACTTAAGTCTCCAGAATGGAAGGACAACATAATTAGAGAGACAGGCCCATGCGTTCTGGAGCAAGGGCCCTCTGTCCATGTCCTAGCTGGGTGGCCTTTGACAAGTTCCCTGAGACCTTTATTGGGATCCTTTTGAAATGGAGGCAAAATGTTCTACTTTAGGGAGTCCTTGGAGGAATTAAATGAGATATCATTTGGGAAATGCTTCTGGAGAGTCTTGGCCACCATGTAGCAGAACCCTGGCTGCTGTTCACAAGACCCCTCCAGGGTCCCCTCCTGTGTGTGAAGGCTGCCTTACCTGTCTGTGGCTCCCTGGGGTGCAGTGACTTCGGTCCCACTCCACACCTGCAGCTTGAGGGGTTTCTCCTCCTGCCACCTGGGTCCTCGGCTGTGGCTCCGTGACAGCTGAGAGTTGTTCAGCCTTAGGGACCTCAGGGAAGCCTCATGGGAGCCACGGTGCCCAGGCCTGCAGCAGAAGAGCTGCTGGTAAGCCGTGCGGAAGTCCCTGTTGAGCGCAGCATACAGGATGGGGTTCAGGGCCGAGTTGGCGTAGCCCAGCCACAGCACAACGGCTTCAAACACCTCATTGACGGCATCGTCCCCTTTCAGCCCACGGTAGACAAACACGGTGAAGTAGGGAAACCAGCAGATGATGAATGCACCCAGCACGACAGCCAGAGCCACAGTGGCTTTGTGCTCCCTGATGGTAGCCGCCCCGCAGGAGCTCATGTGGTTGATCCTCCTGGCCTGCTCCCGGGCGATCTTGAAGATGCGATAGTAGGTGACACACATGACCAGCAGAGGCAGGTAGAAGGTGACCAGCCCGTCCACCAGCCCGTACACCTCGTTGACCTGCACATGGCACCTGCGGGTAGTGTCGTTGCCCTTGCTGGCCTCACTCCCGCTGTTCCAGCCCAGGTGAATAGACAGGAAGGACAGGGTGATGGAGATGACCCAGATGAAGACCAGGGAGATGGCCACACGAGCTGGGGTGACCATCACAGGGTACCGCAGTGGGTCCGTGACGGCGCAGTAGCGGTCGAGGCTGATCATGAAGAGGTTGAGGATGGAGGCCGTGCAGAGCATCACGTCTAGGCTGGTGTAGACGTCGCAGAAGACCTTGCCGAAGGTCCACCTGCAGGACAGCTGGTAGATGGCAGAGAAGGGCAGCACCAGGAGGCCTAGGAGCAGGTCAGTGACCGCCAAGGACACGATGAAGCAGTTGGTGAGGCTGCGGAGCCGGCGGTTCAGGCCCACAGCCAGGCAGACTACCACGTTGCCAGCGACAGTGACGAGGATGAGGACTGCTAGCACCATGCTGAGGGTGACCTTGAACACGGTGGACTCCAGGCCACAGGAAGGGGCTGTGCCATTGGACGCCATCCTGGCTCCCAAAGCTCCTGCCCTGCCCTTGGCCTTTTGGTTCCAGCCACTGGGCTCCAGACTCCCAAGAGAGCCCAAGGAAAGGGTCCATGTGAGTGAAGACTTCAGCGAATGACCCAACGCTGTTTTCTAGAAATAAACCAAGCAGTCCCATAGGTGTGGGGCATGGATATGAATAACGAAGAGCCAAGGGCGGGGACTTGAAGCCAGGCTGGGCGCTCAAGCTCCAGAGGTTCCCGAGGAGCCAGCTTCCTCCCAGGGCTGCGATAGCTCTCCAATCTCCAGGCTCTGCACGGGGACAGAGGCACCAGAGTGCGGCACTGAGGTGGCYTTGATTCTATGTGGGAGGGATCTCACACAGACGTAGCCGTATCCTTCTCCGGAGCCGGCACCCACTTCTGTCCATGTTATTGGGTAGAGGATGGGTGGTCTCCCTTTCTGGGGCGACTGGAGCAGGAGCTGAAAAAGTGAAGGGCAAGTGTTGAGCCTCTGAAATGAGACCAGGAGCCCGAGGGCATTCAAGGTGAGTTTCTAGCCCTGCRTCCCCTGGCAGGACTCTGGGGGCGTGGGGCCCATCTGGGTGCCTTGCTTTGCAGAGACTGGGGCAATCAGGATACAGGGCGGGGAGGGCAGGAGCAGGATACACCATATCCTGGGGGAAACTGCGGGAAGGGCTAGGAATATCTATACAGAAGAGGAAGGACCTGGGCACCGGCTCTCGGCTACGGGAGAACAGGGACTGCACCGGTCTGTCTCCTTCCAGGTTCCGGAGCCCACAGATAGGTAGCATCCCATGAATGAATGACAGGCTGAATGGATGAATGACAGAAGCACTCGGTTTGCTCTTGAAAGTGCTGAGAGCCATGTCCGGTGCTGCTGTTGTGACAAAACATCATCACACTTTTAAGTTAGGAGTCAACAAACTTTCAGGAAAAGGGCAGGTGGTATATTTCCTGCTTGGTGGCCAGTAAGGCATCTGTCACAAAGATTCAACCATGCCACATTCAAGAGAGCATGGCTGTGCTCCGATAAAACCTCAAGGAGGATGCGGCCATGTGCGTTTCAAGCATCGCAAAATCTTCTCTCGGCTTTTTCCGATGATTTAAAAACCTGGAACCTTCTTTCCCTCCCTCCTATAAAGATCACTTCAATCAAACAGCTGCACACACGATGCCTCTTGGTTAAATGAGAGTCCCTGGTCACCAGGGTATCTCCAAGACTCCTTCTGTTGGCCACATTCTGCTTCCAGCAGAACAAGCCAAGGCTGTGCCAGTTCCTGGGCTCCTCAGGCACATCCATACTCCAGAGCAGCCAGCAGGGGATGTCCCCAGGTCGGACAGTGCCAGAATGGAGTGGCTGGCAGAAGCCCTGCCAGAAGCAAGCTAGTCTCCAGGAGGCAGGAACTGGCCTCCCTCAGCCTCCCGTCTGGAGTGGCTTTGCATCCTGACACGAGAAGTACCATTGAATGAGAAGGACTGAGGGGCAGGAATCACGTTCCTGATCACCTTCTGCTGCCCTYGTGGTCACCCGGCCCTGTGAGCTGGCCTCTGGGCACTAGTTTTAGAAGGTCTGTTCAGTACAAAAGTGGCCCAAATAGCAGGAGTCCCACTGCCACACTTAGTTAACTTTGGAGGGGTAGCAATAGGATTTTTTTTTTTTTTTAAGAATCCCTGTTTCTGATCAGATTTCTCTGAGCTTCATTAAAAGCTGAGTGTAGATCGCCATTTTGGCATTGGGCTGGCATTTCAGTGTTCAGGGAAAGCTTCAGACCTGAGTGAACGCTTCTCGTCTTCTGGCCTCTCCTGGCCTCTCCTGGAGTCTCCTGGCCTCTCCTCTCCTCTCCCTGCCTCTCCTCCGTCCTTTCCCCCTCCCCCCTTCTTTCTTCCTTTCCCTTCCTCCCTCTCTTCACTCCCTTGATATGCTTCAACAGGTATTTCCTGGAGAATCTCACCACACCAGGTGCTTCTCTGGGTGCTGCTCCTGGTGCCAGGGGTACCAGGTGCTGGGGGACCGAGTGCCGGGGGAACCAGGTCCCATGGACAAGAGCTGTGCTTCTTTCCTTCATGGAGTTTCCAAGGAGTCGCTCCCAGCCATTGCTGTGTTAAGCCAAGTGCCCCAGCAGTCTGGGGGGACCTCCAGTGAAGGCAGGGGTCTTCAGGCAGGGCTCATTCCCCTTACACCTGTGGGTCACGTTGCTAACTTGCACATCAGCTTCCAATGGCTCCCTTTTGCTCACAAGAAAGAATCGTCACTGTCACCATCACAGCCTATGTGAAGGGCACTCTCCCCAACGTTTTCTCAAACATCCAGTGTTCAGTGCAGTAAACCAAGCATCCTTGATACAGGCAGCAAAGACTGGCCCTTGGGCCATGACACACCCAGGCACTTACATTGCCAGGTGACGGGTGCTGGCCATCTGGTGTGAGGGGGCCCCTAGACTGTGTCTGTGCCTCTGTCGTAAGCAAGCAGGGGTCCAAACACACCTGCGCATTACTCAGCAACTTCTTTTCCTTGGTTTCTTTTAAAATCCCCAGTGCATCATGGACATCTCTCAGGTAACTAGATTCAGCCCACTCTTTCTGGATCCAGTGTGTGGCAATGCAAGCCAACACAGGAGTCCCTGGGCAAGGACATCTGTGCTGGCAGGTTTGCAAGTGGCAAGAAATGGAAACACTGGGAGCATCAGTGCAGGGACAGTGCACAAATACACATGCATATTAAACACGACYGACCTGCACAGCAGCCTCACAGGGGGAGGGGGGGAGTCATCCACTCCACACAACGTCCAGGAGAGCAAGGCTCACAGGGACCAGGTGACGTCACACTCCCAATTAGCAGCACAGCCTGGGTTCAATCTCAGGGCTAATGTTTGGTCAAGTGTCCCCCAAAGGCCATGTTATGGAAGGCGGGGTCTCCAGCGTGGTCCTATTAGGAAGTACTGGATCCTTCGAGGTGGGGCTCAGTGGGAGAAACTGGGTCTTGGGGGTGTGCCCTTGAAAGGGATATTGGGACCCCACATCAGGGCCAAGGGACCCTGGAACGAAACCTCCGAAACTGTGAGCCAACATAAACCCTTTTCCCCTTGAAGTTGATTATCTCAGGTACTTTGTCATCGCGATGGACAGCTGCTCCGCACACTCAGTTCAGTTCCTTTGACCAGTTTTTAATGCCGGTTCTTGGATCAGAGCAGACGTCCAGCTCTTTCCAACTGCCTCTCACCAAACACTCCTGCACTGTCCCAGCTTCACCATTAAGGCAACTGAGCACCCCCAGGCACAGCAGCCTCTCTCTCCTGCCTCTGCCTTTGTCGTCCCCACACCTGGGGCCCCTTTGCCTACACTCAGTTCAGCTCCTGGCCTTCCATGATTCAGTACAGGTGACTGTCTCCTAGATGCTGGAGGAAGAAGCAATGTCCCCTGCACTTAGATTCTGAGCACCTGCCACTCTGTACTGTTACCATGGCTTTGTCTTGTCCCCACACTGGAGAGGGAACCATCTAGGGCAGGGGCCGGATCCTTTCCACCTTGCCCTACCCCTGTGTCTTCCTTGTCACCCATCCCTCAGTCCTTCCTTCCTGCACCCATCCTCCCTTCCCTCCCTCCATCCCTCCCCCATTCCCTCTGGTCTCTGTAACAGGAGGAGTACAGGGACAGGTAGTGTGTATACATATGCATGCTGTTTTCCTACACTGGGATCCTCTAAGTGGAGCTCATCCTGGGATCTTGGTCACTGGAGGTCCGTCTGAGTGGTAGGTGAGAGGTGCCTCTAACGTCCCCAGCGTTTTATATCAGACATTTCCAAGCATTCTGGAGAGCTGACAGAAATAACCCAGTGTGCATGGCATCTCGTCCTCCTGTCACACAGATTTGGCAATGGCCTTCTCCACTCTTTTGGGGGTGTGTGTGTGTATGAGAAAAGACGCTTGCTTGCCCAGCCCCTTCCTGTCGGCGCAGCCCGCAGCTGTGTGGGTGTGCGCTTCACTGCTTCCTCTTGTGTCTTCCCATCTTGCCTTAGCACCCTCAGGAAAGGCACTTTCTGGAGAATTTCTCAAGAGCAGGTCCTCCTCTCCATGACCCGTGAGGGAGATTTCCTATCTCCATTGAAAGGCGTCACCAGCCACTGCAGCCTCAGCAGTGAAGAGGTGGCTCGCTCTGCATCTCACCTGGGCTGGCCTCCATGCACTGCACTCAGGGGCAGTCACAGCAGGGCCTCCATGCATCTTGCAGACCCCCTCTGGCCACACCAGCTCTGTGTGGGGAAGTCTGCTGGACACTTCCCATCCTAGCTGGCTTGTCCTTGGCCTGGCACGTGGTGACCTGGCCTTGCTGCTTTGGCCTCGCTTCTGCCTGTGGGCTTGGGGTGCTTTCTGTGCCCTGAAACAACACTTCCAGAAACAGCTACAATGACCCAGTGAGAGGGTCCTGGTCCTGAAAATGGCAGGTCCATCCTGTTCCACCTTGGCGTTCCGTGCGCACCGTCAGGAACACCCTCCTCCCTCCTGCTCCTCTGGCAAGCCTGGCCTCTGGTGGCCTCGGGTGGTGTCCTCTAGTTTTCCAGAGGTGGCTTCTCCATCCCTCTCCTTCCAGCTCTCACCTGCCCCACCGCCAGCAGGGGCCAGGAAGAGGGTTCCTTGACTACGCTGGCACAGTGCTGAGTTTCCAGGGCCTCAGGGGACCTTCTTCCTGGTGGGTCCTTGTGATTCGCCATCAGAACCTGTGCTGCCTGGAGCTGAGCCGGGGTGAGCCAGGAAGGCCTCTCTCCTATCTTGCCTCCAGTGACAGTATGGGGACTGGAGGGTGGGGGCCACCCAGGCCTGCCCGATGGCCTGCTGCCCCCACTGCTCCTCCAGGACACCCCAGGAGAGGGCTGCTGGAGGGCTGCTCTCTGCACCCAGACAGCACGAACAGCAAAACAGCAACCACCAGGGGCTGGTGTCTCCCCATTTGGCCAGACTGTGTCCAGGGCTCCTTTCTTCATGGAGAAGTGAAATGGAGTTTCTCTTCTGTGGATGACACTTCACCCCAAGGCGCAGCCACACGGGGAAGCGGCACCATACATGAGCTGCCCCCGGGCAGGCTGGTGAAGGCTGAGCTGATGAGGATTCTCCCTCAGCCTCCAAGACACGCAGCTGCTCCAGGGGGGTCAC